TGTCTAGGTGTAATACTATATATCTCTATCCATCTCTATCTTATCTCTCTCTCTGTATACGTATAGCTTTATGACAATCTCTCTCTCTCTCTCTCTCTCTCTGTGTCCCTCACTATCCGTGCTCCTTTTCTTCCTGTTCAGGGGCAGTCCGCTTATCTTCGGGGTAATCTTTCTTTGCTCGGCTTCTTCCCTCACTCACACAGACCCCTAGCTTGTCCCCTTTTCCCTATGTCTAACCCCCTCCGTCTCCCATCTCATCGCCCGTCTTCATTCCTTTTCTTCATCAATCCCTCCCATCCTCATCGCCCGTCATCCTACTCCCCCTCATCCTTCTCCCCCCCCTCCTGTTTCTAGCCTGTCCCTTTGTCTCATCGTAATCTTTCTTCTTCTTCGTTCAGTCCGGCCTGCTTATTTACCTTATCCCTGTCTACACCCCTCTACCTTGCTTCATCCCCCTCTTCGGTACCCTCTCTCTCTCCTCATGTCTTCCCGACTCCCTCTCTTCATCCCTCCTCTCTTTATTCATCTCTTCCATTCAGCGCTCCCCCCTCTTTATCCACCGTTTGACGCCTCTCTATTTCCTCCTCTCGCTCCCTCTCTCTTCCTCCCTCTTCCTCCTCTCGCTCCCTCTCTTCCTCCCTCTGGTCCTCCCTTTCTCTTCATCAATCCCTCCCTCTCCCTCTTCAGCAATCCCTCCCTCTCCCTCTTTCTTCAGCAATCCCTCCCTCCGTCTTCTTCAGCAATCCCTCCCTCTCCCTCCCTCTTCAGCAATCCCTCCCTCTCCCTCTCTCTTCATCAATCCCTCCCTCTCCCTCTTCATCAATCCCTCCCTCCCTCTCTTCATCGATCCCTCCCTCTCCCTCTTCAGCAATCCCTCCCGCTCCCTCTCTTCACCAATCCCTCCCTCCCTCCCTCTCCCTCTCTCCCTCTCCCTCTCCCTCTCCCTCTCTCTCTCCCTCTCTCTCTCTCTTCATCAATCGTTCTCCATCTCCTCTTCATCTCTCGTTCCATCTTCCTTCCTCTCCTCTCTTTGTTCCTCCCACTCCCTCTGTATTCCTGTCTTATTAATTGATCCCCCATATGTCCATCTTTTGATGCCTCTTTGCATAATTGCCTTCATCCTGCTTTCCGTACCTTTCTCCTGCAGACCAGATCTCTCTCTCTCTCTCTCTCTCTCTCTCTCTCTCTCTCTCTCTCTTATACGAAGTCCCAGTCCTGCTGCCTTACCGCTCCGGTCTCTGTCTCTGTCTCCAAGTAAAATGTATAGACTGTACAGAGACTAAGCTTATTTTCATCCCTCTCTCCCTCCCGCCATCCTCTTCCTATCCTCGCACGACATCTCCTCCCTTCTTCTATCCTCTCTTTTTTTTTCATTCTCTTTTCTCCCCTCCTTTTCTATCCTTGTCATCTTATCTTTTATTGTCTTATTTTATCTTATCTTTCAGCCCACAACACAAATTTCGACCCAAAAGGGCATTCTACTCCTACCCACATCTTTCAGGGGCATGTTGGCATATATCTCAACTTACGGGGGTATTTTGCAAATTATCCTTCTTTTATCTTATTTTATGTTCTCTTATTTTATATTTTATTTCGTCTTTTTTTTTTTTTTTTTTTTTTTTTTAGAAGTTGATACTTGGTATTATTTTGTCTTATTTTTTTTTTTCTTATCTGTTGTATTTTTCTCTTTTTTCTCATTTTTTTTCCCGTTCGTTTTCTTCGTTTTT